TTGATTTGATGTGAATTAAATGAAAAGCAGAAGAAAACCTAAAATCCAGACCCTTTATCCCAATTTCTTAAAGGGATACTACGTCTTAGAATGAACATAAAATTTTTAAATTTAAACTTGGCCAATAAGAGCATATATTCATCAGTAGATATACCTGGTGTCATAAATAACATAACAGGATCCTTATATAATCCGATAAATCCAAAAAACTTCTTAAAAATGCAATTAACTATTGAAAAACGCTTAATATTATGATTTAGCGTTTTTCAATAATTACTTAGTTTTATGAATTTTCCAATTTTCTAGATTTCACAAGGATTCTGTTGTAAATTTATGACACCAGGTAAGTTCACTGATGAATATATACTCATATTGACCATTCTTGAGAATTAAATTTTATGTTCAATCTATGACGTAGTATCACTTTAATAAAGTAATTGTTCCATCCTAGGCCTGTACATCTGGGAGAATCAACCCTCCCTTTCCCGAAAGCTAAAAGAGTCACTTAATATCATTCTTGACAATCAAAATGGCTTCATGCTCGAGAAAAAACTAGATCAAGAAACAATCCATTGCCAATATACAACACATAAATGAAGTTCTCCCAATGAAAATGATGGAAAACAAAGACAATAGGCGCTGTGACATTGACAGTGAAGAATCAAAATATGAAAAATAATCAAAATGAACAGTTTAGCCTATAATTTTTTACATTTTTTTGTCTTTCAGGACAGTTCATTTAAAGATGAATTAGAAGTGTTATTTATAACAGAAGCTAAAATGAATTTTTTACTATCTCACTTCTCTCCAGTATTGATCATTCAACGTTATATCAGAGGATATTTAACTAGATTCAGGTTTGTTTTCTTTAATATTAACTACTGTTATTGTACTAATTTCATTCAAATAAAAATACCGTTAAAGTAGTTAGGTTGAAAAATATTATGGTACAATCTTGTCCTCTTGCAGTGGTTATAATTAAAATACCATAGGACAGCATAAACTGTGTGTACCCTCCAAATGGAATACTGATTTTACATATCCAATTGCATTCAGACCAAGTGCTGGAGATTGTCTTGAAACCATCTGTTTGACCAAATGTACCTTTTGTCGGAAACAGTTGTTTTAAGATAGTGTTTTCAGCTTTCTGTCAAATTTTGAGCTTTCAAAGCCACGTGTGTCCTTTTTTAGTTATTTGCATTTGAAAGTTGAAATGATAACTGGTCTTTTCTTTAGAAATTTCTAGTTTGAAGTATATTTTAAGGGATTATGTGATTTTCGTACAGTTGTAGTATTTCTGAAGACTATTGAAGGGACAGGTTTGCCAATTGATTGGCTTAGCTAATAAATTCCTGTTTCTGAGACTAAAGTATGATTGGTGAAAAAAAATTGCCTTTATCATATATTTAATGTCTAACTCAACCCCTGAACCATGGCTTATAAGGAATCTGTAGTATATTTCAGTACTCAGTAATTTTGCTTTCATTTCAGACTTGGTTTCATGTCTCAGTTTCATACCCTGAGATATATTACACCACAAACTGGTAATCCACCCAGAATTCAAGGTAGTTCCCGACCTCCATTACCACATGCAACTAGCACACATGAAAGCATGCCACATTTTAATTCAATGATTAAATTACCACAATCTGAATTTGAGTCACAAGTTGGTGATACTGGTACGACCACAACACAAACACAAGAGGTAGCCTACTTCTTTTTATATGTATGTTGATATGTGGCTGGGATATGAGTTTGCTGCAACTCGTAATGCGTCTATGTATGAATTTTGTATGAGTATCTGGGACACTGATGATATCATCAATTTGCACCCTTCCAATTTTCAATCAGACGTCTGTGGCTCTTACAATTTCACTATAAGTAAGCTTTTTATGACTTCACTATCTCAAAAGCTGCTTTTGATATAAAGGACCCTTTAAAGGACGGCATTAGTGACGTCATAAGTGAATTACAAGGGCCACAGATGTCTGATTGAAAATTGAAATGGCGCAATTGATGCTATCATTGTCTCTTTAAGCTTACTGATTGTGGCACTGAAACATTTGTGAAAATGATTGAATTTAAGCTACATTTTGGTCGAAAATTTGAAGAACATGTGTTTGACCTAGTTTCCGTGTTTGGCTTTATATTGGCCCAATTTGAAGTTGAAACCTTCAGAAGAAGTAGGAGACATATTTCCCTACAATAAGGCATTTATTTTACTTAAGTCTGTAGGCTACAGTAGTTGTCTTACACTAATAAAAAGGAACAGGTTTCTGTGGATTTTGGTTTAGTTTAATGTTCTCACAAATTTGAGCAAAAAGAAAATTTTCCTGTTTATTACAGGATTCCAAAGTTTCTGGGAATGTTCCTATGAACAGTCAAAGATCTGATGAGTTAGATTATCTCCCTTTGGTTAAATGTTTACCTTCTGATACTGATATGTCTGAAGATTTGATACCACGGCAAAGAAAAAACATCTTCATCAATTTAGCCAAGCTTCATCAAGAAACAGGACAACTTCTTCAAGAAGAAATCGCTGCCATTCAGGCTCAACATAGAGCTGAGTTACAAGAGAGGTTGATGACTAGATCACCAAGAACTCCGCCATCTCGAAAGGAGAAGGAGAGATCAAAAAGAATCAAAAGTGTTAAACAGTTTTTTGGACCAGTTGTGGAATCGTGTCCCAGTCCAGATGGTCAGTATGGATATTTACCAGATATAGATGATGAGCTACCATTCACTAGATATCGAATCTGTGGTTTCAAGCCTAGAATAGCCATGATTGATGCCACAACTGAAATGGTTTTGTCCAGAAAAGAGGCGGGAAATCTGGTGCGAGATGCTGAAGCTGAACATCATCGAAAGTTAACAGAAACACCTGTACCAAAACAGTTACCAAAGAAATTACCAAGTACTGATCAAAGAATTTTTAATCGTCTCCATGGCAACATGGGCATGTCTTGTCTGTTCGCTGTGCAGAAGGCTTACAAAGAGCGAGAGAAAGCTGAAAAGACTGCAGCAAAGATGGAACATATACTTAACCTGCGGGATGAAAAAATGCGTGCAAAAGAAAGAATCCAACTGTACCATGCTGAAAAACGCAACAGTGTTTTGAATAATCGTAACAAGGAGCGTGTTCGACTTCAAGAAACAATTGAAAAAAGAGAATTAAGCAGACTCAACTATTTAGATAAACGTCAAGATCGTATGAGTAGAACTGCTGAGGTAGCTAAATCTCACAAGAATGATATGAAATTTGCTCGAGATTTCACAAATCAGCACACATCAGTGTCTAATGCATTGATGAGACACGATCGTCAAGCCAGACAAGATGATTTTTCAATGAAGAACTTTGATGTCGTACAGAATCTTCGGCAGGATGAACAAGAGCAACAAGAAACAGTCAAGAAATATATGGAACATCGTCAGTTGATGAGGCAAGGTGAATCAGCCATGAAAAAAGATTTGTTCAATAGTCAGCTCCTTCAAGAAGCAAATGATCGTCTGTTTCAATCTCAACAGCGTGTTGCTCAACTTAAAGCTAAAAGAGATTCCATACAAGCTTTTTATCCCTTACCACCAAGAAATGTACCCAATGGTTTGAAAACAGCACCTTCAGGATTATCTCGTTTTGAAGCTGCTGTGATGTCATCAGCTGGCAGAATGGGGCGTCATCCAACCATGGTTACTTAAAACTTAATTAATTGTGATTGAAAAATAGTAGAAACTTGTTCAACCATTAGAAGTCAAAATGAATAATATTTTGAAAATCAGGTCATCTGTCCCAAGAAACTGAGGCATGAATGGTATAGGCTATACATGTTTCAGATCCTTACAAATAAAAGAGTATATTGTTGCTATTTAATGATACGGTTTAAGTAATGTATATAGGGGGAATCCATGGTGCCATAAATCGGGTCCTACCAGATGGGATATCAACACTTTTGATAATTTGTTTTGAGAATTATCACCATGTTAAGAGCTAATTTTCGCATAAATTTTGGTATCTATAGAAAGCTGAACCATCTCGAGTCCTTCCGTCTGAATATACACCAACAATAAAGATTCAATTTTTGCTGTGAAAAGTTTTGACTTATGTTTACTGTGACTTTAATATTTATAGTTGGTTTTTTCAGTTCTTTATTCACTGTGGTCCATTAAGTAAAATGCTCATTTCAGCCAAATTAGAAAAATCAAGAGGACCCTTGTAAGAAAGATTGCGAAATTTTGACAAAAAAATTTCTGAATACAATGTGTTAAAGTTTTCCAATAATGTAATGAAATTGTTGAATTATTAAACGAGTTTTGCAGAGTGATTTTTTCCAAAGAATTTACGAAGGCGGAGGCACAATTTCTATCCGATAAAAATATCGTCTTTTCCCCACTTTTTTTTTTGACCAATTATCGCCGTTACGGGGCACCGTTAACATTTGAGCCTTCAAATCCATGTGTAGGCTACATAATTATCCGCGTTTGAATGTTAAATGCCGACTATCATTTAAGATAATCTGTGGTATATAGAAAAAAGACATGCATAGTAATATTGAGTCAAATTCCTAGTTTCCTATGAAAGTCTGAAAAGATCAATCCGACAAAATGGCACATCTGTCACTTCGGGTATGGTGGCTTCATCTGTCACTGAAATTGGGCGAGGGTAAATTTAATAGGAAAGGATAACTCGACAGGTTTTCCGATCCTTTCAATCTTGAAATATTTTACACTATAAAGTTGCAGTAATTCCAGTATAATTTAAATTTTTTTTTTTTTTACCAATTGCCGAGTCAACAATTGTGTGCCAATTCACTATCATTTGGGTAATTCACTGGATAGTAAATCCACACCTTTCGGGCTCGGTTACTCAATATAGACCTATAGTTGAAAGATTGTGCAATGCCGACAAGACTCAAAATACACTCTATAGAGAGGTTACTTTATAGTGTCAATTACTGTAACATTACATTTTGATTCGTACTATACAATTCGCCCATTTCCGATTTAAAAAAAAAAAAGGCAATGTTTAATAATCTTTATTTCCAAGGAAATTCGTCAAGGTGTCTTTCTGGAGGTGCAGTGGTGCCTACAATGAATATAAAATTTCAATCACTAATTTGAATCCATTAATATGAAAGTCAATATAATAAATTCGAATTGGACTGCAATGGGGGTACGGTGTATAAAGCAACTGGCCTTTTTTTTGCTAGTGACGACATCCCGATATTTCGGATACTGCAAGACGGTTTGCGAGCTCTGCCCATCTTTCAGAGAGTCCAAAACAGACAAAAATTGAGAATTTGATGTAAATTCAACATTTCAGGTTGTCAAGTTATGATTTAGATGTAATTAATTTACCTCCTGGACGTCTGTCTGCTAATAACTGACAGAGACCACGAACTTTTTCATATATTGGTTCTGTACTGGTTGAGTCAGCAAATTCTGTACATAATTCTCTAATAGCAGCTCTTATTGGTGAAGGTCTGAAATCTAGAAAAGGAAGCGACAGATTAAAATACCCAATACTTTTTATGCTTATTTTAACCGAATCTATACGATTTAGATAATGGCGTCTAGCTTGGCATAATACTCAGTGCCACGAACGTAGTTCTTTGTTCAAAATGTGCAACATGTACATACCTCGTTTACCAAACCACCAGGCATCAGCGGTGACCAATACTGCTATTAATACTACCAATGTAAGTTTCATGTTGACAATCTAAAAATATACATCATGGTATCATTAGGATATATTGGTCAAGATCTACTACCAGTTTATTACAAGATATAGTAAATAAGTTGACTACAGATCAGAATATATTTAAAGTATATCATCATGTTATATATAAATACAGACATTATTTACCTGTAGTTGTGAAGAGACACGTCCTCTATTTCCTCAAGATCTGTGGTGACAATAAATTCTGACTGAGAGTGTCTTCTATTTATTTATAACATGCACGTGCAAATCGAGGAGGTCATACCGAGTTTGAGTTTGGGTGATATGTTTGAGTAGTGGAAGAATTTGTTTGGGCGACTTATTAATCTTAATTGGACATTAGTATTATTTAATGAAAAGATAAAACAACAAAATTTATTTAAAAAAAAGACGCCTTGACACTGAATTTCCCTGGTAATAAAATATCAAAATTATAAACATTGTCTTTTTCTTTCTGGTTGAAATCTTATGAAATGATCCAGATAGATACCAATGGACAATGTACTATAGCTTTAGTATAGTCAAAAAGCTGCTCAGAATTAAACATCGTCTCATTTACCATATTTACTTAGACAGAGATGGAATGAAATTATCCTCAAAGGGATATTGCCTCATATTTGCTTGGCTAACCGTTACTTAAGGTCGGATATTAACAAAGGCAGCCATGGCCGAAAGAAACGATTAGTTACATTATATGTTCTGGAACTACTAAAACGGGTCGTACACCGAGTAATAGTTCTCTATTACTGGCTTGCCAACCCTGCCCATGTCCGATATGCCACCTTTAGCTTGAAATTATTCCAAACAATTTAAGAAATGTTTCTTATTATTACAAGAGCAATGATATAAAGTGTGCCATGAGGGGAGTGGGGGAAAGCATTATTCAAAACTGTGTCATCGGTCTTTAAATCACAGAAATGTCATGGGTCACTAAAATATCTTTATCTGTACCATTCTTGAAATATTATTTTTGTTTCGCCAGAGGCTTTGTCACTAAGATCTTTCGAATTGATCAAATACCGAACATCTCTACAAACAACGCTCGCGTCCTGGCTTCTTGAAACTAATGTGAAGGTTATCTACATAAGTAATAAAGATAGCTTGCCAGACAAGGTAACATACGCCCACTACCAATCTTTAGTGACTTGGAATGAATTTGTTTTTTTTAGAAATGTTTTTTAAAGGGACAAATGCGCATTTGTTTACCAATTGTACGTTAGTCTCAGAAACGGGAATTTTAAAGCTTAGCCAATTAGTAATAGCGTTCATAGCTCACCATCGAAATTTGAGCCTTTAAGTCCATTTATGTCCATAATTTGAAAGTTAGAAAGATGAGTCGTCTTTTTTGAGACCCTGACATAATAATATAAAAAGGACAAGAAAATTCCTAGTTTGAGGTATATTTGAAGGAATACTGCGATATTCGTACATTTCTAGTACTTCTGAAGACTATTTACATTCAAGACTCAAATCACCCCTGAAAAAGGATACTTAAATTTAAATTTTGCTCAATCGTGACGCATAAAAGTATATAAATACATCAGTTGACTTACCGGTGTCATAACTATACCGGTTTGAAAAATCCGAAGGTAACATCTCGACCTATGACGGAATTGAACGCTGGACCTAACTCATTGAGCCACCGCGGCTCCCAAAATTACACAACAGAATCCCTGTTATAATTCGATAAATCCATAAAATAAGTTTATAATCGAAAGAGTCTGCTAAGCATTTTTCAAATCGTCGGGTGACCTGAAGCATTTTTACCCTGTTAAATCTGATTCGATTACCATAATCAATCACGTCACGATACGATTTTGATAAATACAATTGAAGATGGCAGTTAACCAGCTGACCCACCCTATCCACAAGAGAATAAATATACATAAATATTTTATTCTCCTATTGCCAGTTTTAGGTATACACCCCGACTGACATGTATCGTAATGATAAACTTTCAAATTGTGACTAGACTAGACTAGTATTGCGTACAATTTTGACCTATAGTTTTAGTCGTAACTTGAAGCCCTGATATATATTGACAAGATGTCTTATGAATTTGACTTTTCCAAGAATGAACAATGGTGACTTTCATTTCAAAATTTTAGGAGAGCTCAACAATATGCAGACCAAATTTCATGCATATAGTATCAAAACTCTAGCCTATATCACAAGTCAATTTTGACACAGTTCTGCTAATGTAAAGGGAAATATTTTTTTCAGCAAACGATATTCTTTCTAACCTAAGACATTTTAAAACCAAGCTGTTTTTCTGTATTTTGGATCTCACTAGAAATGTCAGAATCTCATGATAAACTCTCAATTCTCACTATACCTGCAATTTGAATGTTTCTCATGTTTATCTCGACAAACTTTCCCTCATTGGACACTGCGTGGCATAGTTCATGTACACTATATGATTGGACGAAAGACCAAATTCCAATTAAGATTAATGAGTCACCCAAACGAATTCCTCCACTACTAAAACATATCACCCAAACTCAGACTCGTTATGACCATCTTCGACTTGCACGTGCATGATATGAATAAATAGAAGACACTCTCAATCAGAATTTATTGTCACCACAGATCTTGAGGAAATAGAGGACGTGTCTCTTCACAACTACAGGTAAATAATGTCTGTATTTATATATAACATGATGATATACTTTAAATATATTCTGATCTGTAGTCAACTCGCACCGTGTTCAAGTTGATTTTATTTACTATATCTTGTAATAAACTGGTAGTAGATCTTGACCAATATATCCTAATGATACTATGATGTATATTTTTAGATTGTCAACATGAAACTTACATTGGTAGTATTAATAGCAGTATTGGTCACCGCTGATGCCTGGTGGTTTGGTAAACGAGGTATGTACATGTTGCACATTTTTAACAAAGAACTACATTCGTGGTACTGAGTATTATGCCAAGCTAGACGCCATTATCTAAATCGTATAGATTCGGTTAAAATAAGCCCGTCTTCAAAGTATTGGGTATTTTAATCTGTCGGTTCCTTTTCTAGATTTCAAGCCTTCACTAATAAGAGCTGCTGTTAGAGAATTGTGTACAGAATTTGCTGACTCAACCAGTACAGAACCAATATATGAAAAAGTTCGTGGTCTGTGTCAGTTATTAGCAGACAGACGTCCAGGAGGTAAATTAATTACATCTAAATCGTAACATGACAACCTGAAAGGGGGAGAAACTTCACATCAAATTCTGAAGGTATTAATGGTTTTGCCTGCGTTACTTGATAACAAAACATTAGTGTACTGGATCTTGCAGTGCTATATTGCTTCAGTATAGTCAGCATTTTCTACTACGGCTACGTCATCTGTACGAATCACGTGGGTTTGAGTTTACTTAAATGTTATATGCATTTAATCTTTGTATTATAGGCGAACCACCATCAGAAAGACGCCTTGACGCTGAATTTCCATGGTAATAAAATATTAAAATTTTAAACTTTTTGTTTCTTTCTGATTGAAAGGAAATGATCCAGATATACACTTAGTACTATAGCTATTAAGCTGTTGAGAATTAAACCTCGTCCCATTTACTGAGGCAGAGGGAATGAAATAATCCTTAAATGGATAGTGCCTCCATATTTGCTTTGCCAACTGTAACTTAAGGTCCAGTGTTTATTGTCTCAAAAATTCAACAGCTTTCAACAAAGGCAGTTATGACCGAAAGAAACGATAAGTTAAATATGTGTTCTGTTCGGTATTACTTTTAAAACAGACCGGACACGGACTATGTTTCTCTATCTGCACCTGGGTACTAACCCTGCCCATGCCCGATACGCCACCTTAGGCATAAAATTATTCCAAACAATTAGACACGAGCAATAATATGTAGTTTGCAATGAGGGGAGGGGGGGGGAAAGCATTATTCAAAACAGTCGTCGGTCTTTAAGATAAAAAAAAAAAAAAAAAAAAAAAAAAAAAAAAACCAAAAAACAAAAACTAGAACCTTGATATCGGTACCTAAGCAGTGCGCATCTAATCTGATACATCGATAAAACGTTGCATTTTAAAAGTCACAATGGAATTTCTTACCGGAAAGAAAAGCATGTAAACATTAAATTGTAAAAAAAAACATCGTTTAAACCGTTTACCGTTCGGTAGTGAAAAGACGCACGAATTTGATACCATTCGGTACTAAAAGGTGTTTACATTCGGTAGTCGAATTTTCAAATAGTTGTTAAGTTAAAAGTACAAATCGCACAACAAAAATGAAAATATTATTGGAAAGGTCTCGTCAAGTACAATAACTTGTGTTACGGTCAAGAGGTCAACAAAGGTCAAATAAAAGAGATAAGCCTTAAAAATGTCGACAATTGCTGTTTTGGACGTCTGAAAAAGCGGAAGTATATGTCGGACATCAAAGTATGAATTGACATCCTAGGGTGACTTCGATTGAACCTCTGTGGTCGAGCTGGAGTTGAAATGACGTAATTCTCTTCAGCGAGCAAGCCGAGTAAGGGTCAAAATGGCGGGACTTTTGACCATATATAGACCTTCCATATGGTAACTCGTGTTTGACTCTCCAAATAGTGAGTGTCGGACCACAGCTTCTAACTAGGTCAAATATTACGTCACACGAGTCTCAACTCTACAAAATATTACAGTTCGGTTGTGACTCGACTGACTCGAGTCTAGCCCGGGCTCCAATCGAAGTCACCCCTAGATCATTGTCCTTTGACCTTGCAAATATCAAGGTCATGCATGCCAATGAACAAAATATCAAAATTCAATAAATTGTAAAACCTATTCCCGTTTTTATAGTAAAAGGTCCAAACAAATGTAACTTTATCACTAATTGTCCGAAGCAGTGAGTTATTTTTATGCAAAACTTCTAGGGGGACAAATGCAAACTTTGCGAGTTGAATGGAAGGTGAATGGAACTCTTCAAAGTTCAAAATAGCTATTTTCAATTGGCTGTAGAACCGGAAGTTAACGATGCACAACAAAAGTGAAGATAATATCGGATGTATCTCGTAATGTGCAACAACTTTTGTTCAGGTCAAAAGGTCAACAAAGGTCAACAAAGGTCAAATAAAAGTAATATGAACCTTTGAAGTTTCGAAAATTGCTATTTTTGGATGTCTGCAAAACCGGAAGTACATATCGGACATCAAAGTTCAAAGTAAGAATGGTCATCCTAGGTCAATGACCTTTGACCATGCAATGGTCAAGGTCATTTATGTTAAAGTTCAAAAATGAAAATTTGTGATGAGGTGTACATTGTTAAATAATGTTCAAAATTTCAAGTGTTTACAATCATTAGATCATGAGATATTCGTAGTTATACGTTTTTTAAGGCAACGGTTACTGTCGGTGGATTATAGACACCGTGAATTTACGTACAGTTACTATAGAAGTCAGTACAAAATTTTCAATTTTTAAAAAGCTAAATTTTGATCAAAATATCAAGTGTGATATATCACCAAAAAGGAGAGATCATGCACTCTAAGAATATATAAGAAATTTTGTCGTATGTTAATTAGGTTACTTGATAGAGCTCTTCAAACTTTAAAATCTCTATTTTCAAATGGCTGTAGAACCGGAAGTGAAGATATCATCGAATAGATCTCGTCGGTCACAAGAACTCCAAAGGTCAAGGTCAAGATATATGCCTTAACAGTTTTGACAATTAATGAAAAAAAAACCGGAAATTTAAAAAATGCAAAAGAGAAATTCAAAAATCGTCTCCCACAATTTTTTTGCGCAATTGATTGCAGTTTACATAAACATCAGATTTATGCACATCCAATTTTACCCTGAGGCCCCATTTTGAGTTTTATAAAAATTAGCCGTATCAAGATGGCGTCTTAACCAATACTTCCGGGTCAAATTCATTCATTCCAAAATCTTTATTGGGACAGTTATAACTAATTGGAAAGACGTAATGAACGGTTAACGTCCTACGTCATTTCCGGTTGGGCGAAGATGCGTCATTTTAAATTGAAACAATAGCGACAGGCTTAAGGACAACCTGTCCCTCAATACTCACTATACCTGCATTTTGAATATTTCTGATGATTATCTCGACAAACTTTTCCTCAATTCTCACTATACCTGCAATTTGAATATTTCTGATGATTATTTCGACAAACTTTTCCTAAATTCTCACTATACCTGCATTTTGAATGTTTCTGATGATTATCTCGACAAACATTTCCTCAATTCTCACTATACCTGCAATTTGAATATTTTTGATGATTATCTCGACAAATATTTCCTCATTGTTCACCATTGAACGAAAAGCCACATTCAACTTTTCCAACTAGGATTAATGAGTCACCCAAACGAATTCGTCCACTACTAAAACATATCACCCAAACACAGACTCGGTATGATCTCCTCGATTTGCACGTGCATGATATGAATAAATAGGATACACTCCCAATCATAATTTATTGTCACCACAGATCTTGAGGAAATAGAGGACGTGTCTCTTCACAACTACAGGTAAATAATGTCTGTATTTATATATAACATGATGATATACTTTAAATATATTCTGATCTGTAGTCAACTTATTTACTATATCTTGTAATAAACTGGTAGTAGATCTTGACCAATATATCCTAATGATACCATGATGTATATTTTTAGATTGTCAACATGAAACTAACATTGGTAGTATTAATAGCAGTATTGGTCACCGCTGATGCCTGGTGGTTTGGTAGACGAGGTATGTACAAGTTGCATATTTTAACAAAGAACTCGCCTCCTACGTTCGTGGCACTTAAATGGGCATAATTTTGAGCTCGTCTTCATTAGGATTAAAGGTATTTTAATCTCTTCCCTTTTCCAGATTTGAAATCTTCACCACTAATAGCTGCTATTAGAGAATTATGTACAGAATTTGCTGACTCAACCAGTACAGAACCAATATATGAAAAAGTTCGTGGTCTGTGTCAGTTATTAGCAGACAAACGTCCAGGAGGTAAATTAATTACATCTAAATCGTAACTCGACAACCTGAAAGGAGGGGGTGGGAAGAATCTTTACATCAAATTCTCAAGGTATCAAAGGTCTTGTCTGTGTTACGTTCTAGCATATGCTATATTGCTTTAGTATAGTCGGCACTTTTCTACTACGGCTACGTCATCTGTACGAATCACATGGGTTTGAGTTTACTTAAATGTATTATATGCATTTATTCTTTTGTTACAGGCGAACCACCATCAGAACGACGCCGTGACACTGAATTTCCATGGTAATAAAAAATTTTAAACTTGCCTTTTTTTTCTGGTTGAAATTTTATGAAATGATCCAGACTGAACAATGTACTATAGCTTTACTATAGCTACTAAGATGTTCAGAATTAAACCTCGTGCCATTTACCATATTTACTGAGACGGATGAAATTATCCTCAAAGGGATATTGCCTCATATTTGCTTGGCCAACTGTAACTTAAGGTCCAGTGTCCATTGTCCCAAGAAATCCAACAGCTTTCAACAAAGGCAGTTATGGCCGAAAGAAACGATAAGTTAAATAATCTGTTCTGTTCGGTACTAATTCTTAAACAGATCAGACACCGACTATGTTCCACTATCTGCGCCTGGGTACTAACCCTGCCCATGCCCGATACGCCACCTTAGGCATAAAATTATTCCAAACAATTAGACATGAGCAATAATATGTAGTTTGCAATGAGGGGAGGGGAAAGCATTATTCAAAACAGTCGTCGGTCTTTAAGATCAAAAAAAAAAAAAAAAAAAAAAAATCTAATCTGATACATCGATAACACGTTGCTTTTTAAAGTTACAATGGGATTTCTTACCGGAAAGAAAAGCATGTAAACATTCAATTGTAAAAAAAATCGTTTAAACTGTTTACGTTCGGTAGTGAAAAGACGCATGAATTTTATACCCTTCACCATGCAACATGCTTGACAACCATGATTTGTCGACAACTGTTCCTATATTTGGACTATTGGTGCTGATTAGTATATTATCATATGCAAAATCAATAAAATTATGAATTTCCAATGTTTTGATTGTTATGAGGCATTGCTCTTGTCTTTCGAAATGTGTTCAGTCTGTGTTCAGTCTGTAGCTTGTAAATACTCGAGAGGGCACAATTCTTAACGATTAGGACGAAACTTTGTGGAATTGTTTATTATAAACCTATCACGAGCCATAAGAAAATAAAAAAAATCTAAGAAATATATGATATGAGTTATTGGTCTTGGAAACGCGTTCAATTTTTAGTTTGTAAACAGACGTCAGAAAAAATACAGATATTGATAGTGTTTGACTGTAGTATGTAGTCTAGGTCAGTAATAATACAGATATTGATACTGTCTGACTGAAGTATGTAGTCACGGTCAGTAATAATTCAGGTATTGACTGTGTTTGACTGTAGTCTGTAATAGAGGTCATTAATGGTACAGATATTGATAGTGTTTGACTGAAATATGTAGTCTTGGTTAGTAATGATACAGATTTTGATACTGTTTGATTGTAGTATGTAGTAGAGGTTAGTAATGATACAGATATTCATGGTGTTTGACTGTATATGTATTAGCGGTTAGTAATGATACGGATATTGATAATGTTTGACTGTAGTATGTAGTAGGGGTCAGTAACGATACATATATTGGTAGTTTTTGACTGTAGTATAGTTTAGTAATGAAACATATATTGAAAGTGTTTGACTATAGTATGTAGTATAGTTTGGTAATGATGCAGATATTGATACTACAGTCAAACACTATCAATATATGTATACTGATATACTAGTTCTAACTTCATGACCTAGGCTTGCGCTTTTATGGGATTTTTTATTCTCATATCACCCCAGTATCCATAGGACACAACATTACAATATTTGTGAATTGCATTATCTCTTCAGTTGGTTCTAATCCAAAAGAATCAAAAAAATATAAGTTATTTGAAGAGTCTTTGTACAAAGCAGAATGATGAACTCCTTTTTGATCGGAAGTATGTAT